TGTAGTCTATACTAGCCTTATTTTCCTGATGTTTATAGCACCATCAAGGGCAATTTTGTCTTTAATGCTTTGATTATTTGGGTAAAATCTCTTGCTGGAGTTCAGGCTCATAGGAGGCAGAGACTGTGTCTTTTTTTTTTTTTTATCCTGTTTATCACAAGAGAAAGGTAGCGTCTAGCATAAAGCAGGAGCTCGAGAATATTTGTTGAGGATTGTGGGTAGATGGGTGAATGGCTTCTTGAGGTATCCATTTGTGCACCAGTTAGAACAGAGCATTCGTTCATTTCCAAGATGTTGGAGGCCCAATGAGGACTAAACCAACAGATGGAAGAAGAGATCTTCCATTCCTCAGAGACAAGGGGACAGACGTGTCCCTCCCGGCAAAGATGCCCAGTCACCCAAGTCACACTTTAGGGCCGTTTTCCTCTCCAGCTCTTCCTGCGCATCAGCTCTGCTGGCTCCCATTCTGCACAGCCCAGCTGGCCCTCTCAGTGTGCCGCTCTCTCAGTTTGCACCTAGTGCCATTCTCACTGCCAGTCCAGAAAACATACCTTTGCCTCAAACACCCAGAAATTAAAGGAGCAATTTTGAGTCTTAGGGCAAGAGTGTCAGTATAATTATCTCTTCCTTATTTGGCTGGACAAACATCTTCTGTTCATTAGGAAAGTATTAAAATAGTTTTGAGCTTGGGCTGAGGAGTCAGATTTCCGGAGCACCCTACCTCAGGCACCTATGTGATCTTGGGAAAACTAGGTTTCTGAGGCTCAGTTTTCCTTATCTATAAAATGGTGATAATATGAGCACTTACTGCCTGGGATTGATGTGGGATACTTTAGACCAGCATGGTTCAATAGTAATATAATGCAAGCCGTATATATAACAACTTAAGTGTTGCAGTAACTATATTTTAAAAAGCAAAATGAAACGAGTGAAAATAATTTTAGTAATATATTTAACCCTCTATATCTAAAGTTTTGTCATTTCAACCCTCTATATCTAAAGTTTTGTCATTTCAACACGTAATAAAACAACTATTAATGAGATATTTTACATTCTTTTTATTCATATTAAGTCTTTGATGTACACTTTAGCACATCTCAGTTTGAACTAGGCACATTTCAGAGGCTCAGTAGCTTGTGGCTACTGTATGAGGCAGTGCTGTTTTAGCTAATTCATAAAAATACACAGTACCTAGTTCATACTCGCATTCAACAGATGTTGGCAAAATTATTGTTCTTCATTTTAAAACATCAAAAACTGGGTGGACAAACATTTGTACTGCATGTTTGCATACATTGCCATGTGGGAAGATGCGTCAGATCTGTTCTTCTGTTTCAACGGAAGAGTTGCTTTTAAGTGTTCTCAGCTGTTCCCTATAAGTTGGCCTCTGCGTTTCCGAATGAGGTCAGTTTGGTGGCTGATGGTCCTCTTTTCTTAGGGAGGTGGGAAGGGAGAAACTCAGTGTGCCTCAAGTGCTGCGTGCCTGACTCTGTTTCTTGGCTCTTCTCTGTTTAATTATTTGGAGCTGGAACAACTTGATTTTAAAACAAAACATATGGGCTGACAGTAATCGGGAGGACATTTCCTAGTGATGTAGCACCGGAGGTATGTGCCTGTTGAGGCCCCAGCCCCGCACGGCTTGCTTGCTTAGGTATTGAGTGCTTTCCTTGACTTTAAATCCAGTGTGCTTTCTCCAAATTCTTAAACCCTTGTTTGGAAAGTCACCGTCAAAGCAGGAAATACTAGAGCAAGTTTTTAAAGGGATAGTCTATCAGTCTTCCCTAAATTTTGTGGAAAACTATTGGTTTTCAATTCATTGATATGGTTCATGAAAGAAAAAATGTTTTCAAAGTGGCGGAAAGAGAAAGGAGAACTTTATACAAAGAGGAGAAAGTTGACCCACCATGGAATTTCTGTTTTCTACTTCCCTCCATTGCTGACCCCAACCTGGGGCATCTCTGTTCTTCAGCAGGTTCCTATGGGAAGGCAAGGTTTTTATCTCTTTCTACCTCAACCTTACTTTGTTTCCTGCAGAGGAAACTCCTGCTCTTATTCCATATGATTCTAACCTGAATGCCTCAACTTAGTGTTCTGTGGCGGAAATAGGGATTTATCAAGACTGGTAAGACTGTGTACTTTGATGCCAGACTCCTCTTACTTCAAATCTCTGCTTTTTCACGTAGAAACTGCGTACCACTGTGAGCCTCATTTTTCTCTTTCTTAAACTGTGCCTGTATTTCAAAATAAACTTGTGATGTTTGAGAGAGACACTGCCCACAAAGCACGGAGGCTGGTGAGCAATGAAGAGAAATAAATGTTAGCGATTAGGCAGGACTCTCAGAAGTGACATGTCCACCCTCTTCTTCAGGGAGGGATGCCGACTACAGTGTCCTCTGCCATAACATCCCACTCATCTCATTGTGACACTGTGATTAAATGCCACATTGGGGGTGAGGTGAACATTTGTCTACGAAGAGCTTTAGCATTAGAAAGTCAGGCATTTCACTGGGGTGAGTTGGATGTCATATGTGTGAAGTCAAGCGTCAGTGATTTCTAGGTCTGACGGGGTCCTGTGTGTCCACTTGTCACCCTGTTGTGCCTAGGACCTGTAAATACAAGAAACACAGTAACATGCTGAACTGCTTTGTTTTTGTACTGTAGTGTCCCATGTTCCTTTCGGGGGACTGGTACTTCATTGTTTTGGATCAGAAATGGAACATGAAATAGCACTCTGACCAGGGGGTAGAGGGGCTAACCATAGTTTTTCTGAAGGGATATTGAAAACAAAAAAATCTTTCTACATACTGTTCAAACATCTAAGAGCAGGATTAGGAAGAAAGGGATCCTTGGTTTTTGCCCAGCCAAGGACTTGCTGGAGCTTTTCTGTATCAAGGCTCAGAATGTGTTGCATATACTTCCTGCCCTGTCCCATCGTTGGGAGATTGGGGAAGTTCTACTTCTAAAAACATCACCACGTGTTCGGGGCAGTCCATTGTTTGTGTTTTTTCCATTCCTTCTCCTCTGCCCCTGCTGTTTTTCCGGCCCCAGTTGGATTTTTAGCCGATGCCTACAAAGTGTCACTCCCCATGGCGAATGGTGAAGACCTCGCCAGGTGCACAGTTCTCAGATATCCCTGGACCTGGGAAGAATGGCCACCCTCACTGTCGCTTTGTCTGCACACCCCTCTCAGTGGACAGCTTTCCTGACATTTAACTTAATCAGGATGAAGTAAAATAAACAGTGCACTGCTGACATCAGACATTGCTTGTCAGCTGGCCCATTCTTTTCACTTTAGTGTTTGAAAAGGAAATTCTGAGTTGCCATTGTTAATGAAGATGAGGAATGAGTCTCTCCTCATGGCCAGTTAGACCCAGTTCTGATCATTGAGCTCTTAGTGGGTGGACAGCACTGTACGGTGTGTCATCAAACCTGTGACACCTCATTAGAAGTCATGCTATTATTTTTGATACAATCAAGGAAAGAAAACTATGAGGTACCATCGATTTTAAGACACTTCCCAATTTCAGAGATGCTAAAGTATGGGTGGGGGGGCAGAGTGCATATCTTAGGACAGATGGACTATACTGAGGAATAACTAAAATGGAAAGTTCCCCTGGTTACCAGTTGTCCCCTCCCGCCATGTCCCCTCCCCCCCTCCATACTCACCACAGCTGATGGGCAGCACGTGAGATCCGTGTTCATGGATGAGGGGCACCTCTGCCTTGGCTGAGTGCATCTTGTGTTCTCCTTTAACTCGGCTTCATGTCACTTGTGTGCTCTGTGTCACACATGAAGTTATGGCACTGAGTTGACCAGGCCGAGTTGTGGAAGTCCTCTCAAGTATAATGTAAGTAATTTAAGTTTCTGAAAAACAGAAGCATCCAGGAATTTTCTTGGGGGCACATTGGACTTGATAAGATTCATGTTACCTTTTGAAGGAGCAGTAAAGAGCTAGTTGAGGGACAGCGGGGCGTCTGCCTGCCCTCTCTCGCCCGGCCCTTTCGTAATGGTTTAATGGTGAAGAGAGAATTGCCAGCTCTCCCAAGTGCATGTCCCCGGCTGTCCTTTTGCAGTGCATGCTGGCTTGGATTTGTGGAGGTGCATACCCTTCCTCTTTTATCCTAAAAGGCACCATTAAACCTTATTGATGATTTTGATTTTATTCAAGATTCTGCCTACTTATTATTTATAACCCGAATGATTCCTAAGCACATACATGTCCCCAACCCCCTTTTTATTTTAAAAATTTTATGTATTTTTCAGTTTTACTGAAATATAATTGACAAAATTGTAAGATATTTAAAGAGTACACATGGTGATTTTATACACATATTCATTGTGAAAGGATTCCCCCCATGAAGTTAATTAACACATTCATCACCTCACATGGTTACTTTTTTTTTTTTTTTTTTTTGGTGAGAACATTCAAGTTCTATTTTTTTAGCAAATTTAAATTGTACAATATGTTATCAACATATAGTCACACGTCATACATTAGATTCTCATAGTTTACTCATCTTTCAACAGAAAGTTTGTGCCCTTTTACCAATATCTCCCTGTTTTCCCCACACCTGGTAACCACTTTCCTACTCTGTTTCTGTGAATTTGACTTATTTATTTTTAGATTCTACATATAAATGATGTCATGTGATATTTATCTTCTCTGTCTGGCTTATTTCATTTAACCTATGTCCCTCAGATTCATCCATGGTGTCATATCTGGCAGCATTTCCTTCTTTTTAAAGGCTGAATAATACTCTATTGTATATATACACACTATATATTTTTTTAACCCAACACTTTTTAATGCTGTAGTAACTTTAATAAAGGGGACTCTGTTTTGTTTATTTGTTTCTGTTAGACTGTTACTCAGATTTTAGAGAAAACTATTTCTCAACCAGGTAAAGTAGCAAAAGAATTGATTGGAAACTTTCTAATTTATATTAGTAAAAACATGGTGTTTACCCTTATGTTTACCCTACTTTCTCTCTTTCTTTCAGTTTTTGGGAATAGCATTTCTTGGAATTGGACTGTGGGCGTGGAATGAAAAAGTAAGTTCAATATCATGAAAATGCACATACCTGGGTTGTTAGAGGCTGCATATTATACTACTGTATGTTGTCTTCTTTTCCTCTTTGAAACTGCATAGTATAAACAATCATGGTTTGGGGGACTGGGTGAAAAGATGAAAAGGATTAAGAAAAAAACAAAACAAAACAACTCTATAGAAACAAATAGTAGTATGGTGATTACCAGTGGGAAAGGGAGTGAGGGAGGAAGTGGAGGAAAGTGAAGGGGGCATAAATGGAGACTTGACTTTGGGTGGTGAATATGCAACACAATATACAGATGATGTATTGTGTAGTTATACACTTGAAACCTATGTAATTTTATGAACCAGTGTCACTCAGGTAAATTCAATAAAGTTTTTTTAAAAACATGGTTCTTTAAGGAAAAAGTGTTTTTGCAAGATAACACTTTGCTGTATAACACTTTGATATGATGGCATATATCAAAGACTTCTTAGGAGTGGAGCCTAAACTGATCACTACATCAGAATAAACACAGAAGTAATAATATACATGCGCAACAAACTGTGTCCTGGAATTTTATCAGTAAGCCAGAGATGAGTGTTTCCATGAAACATTTCCTCATTTTGGCACAAGAATTCCAATAATGCTCATAAATATCACTGAACAACCTGCAGCCTTCTTTCTATTTGTTTTTAACCTTTTGGAACATTGCTCAAGCTATGACGATGATTTTTTTTTTTAAGCGTGAGATAATGGGATAAGCCGTTGGCAAATCCTGTGAAGGAAGCTGGGTATAATTTGTTTGAACTAGATAAACTTACCATTAACAGTACAGAATGTGAACACTTTGCTGATTGAAAATGTTTGGGAATATTCAAAATTTATGCTCAAATTCAGTATTGTAAAAGGAAAAATCTAGAAATAGAGAGTAGCATATTTTAAGATACAGTGAAGATACAGTGTTCTGAGCAGTTTATGCTCATAAGTTCACTCCTTACTTTCCATCCGCACCTTTTAATATTTCCTGTATAACTTTCCCTACTGAAGCCAAGCACTGGAATTCAAAAACAAAAACTCTTTTCTTCTACCTTTTTTGGAAGTGAAATCTCTGGCAGCTTTTTATCTGCCCTGGTATTTGGCTACACAGTAAAGCTTTATCATCTCCCACCTTGTAAGAATGAGGGAGTAGATGAACTGGTTAAAAGTCGTAAACTAAGAGGTTAGCTTCAATTTTCCCAGAAGATTGGTCTCTTATCTCTTTGGTATTTCACCCTTTGAGCTTGACTGGGGCCTGAAGCCAAGCATTTCTTTGAAGTATTATATGTGTTAGGAAGAGAGAGAACACCAAGAAAGCCCAGTAAACAAATGCCTCTCAGATGCCAGTATGAATTTCCACAACTAAAACAATGTTCGGATAGAATGCATCAAATAAAACTCAAAGAAAATCCTGATTTTTGGAACTAACAACCTTCTGTTTATTTGCAGAATACTTGTGCAGCATGTAAAGTGTTTTATGGAAAATGAAAGGAGACAAATTAAGTTCCCCAAACAGAGATAATTTTATCTCTAGAAACTTTAATGTTGAATACTGGTCTTCTTTTGGATAATGACCAGCTTCTCCCTCAATCCCCTTATAATCCTGAAGATTTGCATTGGTGGAATCTCAGGAATTCCACTTTTAGAAGCCTTCTGGTTGGCTCAGTGCTGGATCATACAGCTTTGTATAACTCTCCTTTAATAAGAGTCCATTTCTGTCTGCTTTGAAAAGATGCTGGAAGGCATTAAATGAACTAATTGTCTGTCCTAGCAATAAACAGACAATTGGTTGTGTTGAAGGTTTTTTTCCTCTCTTTGTGAAATATAATTATCTTTTTGTTTCATCAGTTCACCAAATGTCTCTTCTCTGATAAAATCTCGAAATTCTAAAACTAGCAAATATCAGAGCAAGAGGGTGATGCAGTCTTTAGAGAGGGATGAAATATCAGTCCCTTCTTTGTCAGGGCCACTATCAGTAAATGGAAAGTTTCTCGGGAGATCCTGAAGTTACTTGGCCAGGGTCACCCAGCTACTGTGCAGCAGCCCTCTGTGTGCTGGGACCAAACGGAGATGACAGAGGGCTGAGGCTATACAGCAGCCCAGTCCGGTGTGCACTGGCAGCCTGTGGGCCCTGGACTTGGGGGGTGTGTCAGTGAGGGATGCAGAGTCACTGCCCGCGTGGAGCCTGTATTCCAGTGAGAGCGTGACAATAAGCAGTTTACTAACTGAATACCTGTGTTCAGGTACTGGTAAGTACTGCTGAGAAACGTAAAGTGGAGGGTAGGGACTAGTTAGAGAGTGGTGACGGACTAGGTCTCTTTTCGATAAGGAGGGAATGGCCTCCTTAGGAGGTGGCATTGGAACAAGGACCTGGATGAAGTAAGAGGGATCTGTAGAGGGCTGGGGGGAATTGCATTCTGGGCAGAGGGGTTAGCAAGTGTGGTAGTCCTGAGTCAGAGACTCGGTGATTCCTAGGAACAGGAAGAAGGCCAGTTGATTGGAAGGGAGAGAACAAGGGCAAGACAAATAGGCATGTGGCAAGAGAGGCAGCCAAAGGCCTGAGCAGGTGGGGTCCTGCAGAAGTTTGGGTGAGTATTTTGACAAGGGAGTGTCCTGGTCTGGCTTTTGTTTTAAGATTGCTTTGTTTGTTTGTAGAAAAATAGTGTAGCTCAGGGGACCTGAGTTCAAGTACTGGCTAGTCCATTTACCATCTGTGTGAATGTGGGCACCTGTGTTAATTTCTCTGAGATACCCGTGTCCTGTATGTGCAATGGGCCACCAATATCACATCATCGGATTGTTGTGAGGATTAAATGAGATGGCCCCCAAGACAGCTCCTGCTATAAAATAAATGCTTCTTGGCGATGTGGCGCTCTCCTCTGGACGCATGACTGTAGCATGTCCGCCCCTACGTGGGGACGAGGGCAGAATCGTGGCTTTGGAAGGTGCCCCAGGTTTTAGATGAGTTCCTGGCTCTGATTCATGGACCAGAGAATTGGTTTGGTTTTGGGGGCTCTTAAGGAGGATATGATGTGCATCCATCAGCTTGGTAACTGCAAAGGCTGCTCTGTCGATGCCCTTTGGGCTAACTTCTAAGCTGGACCGGGCCTCTGACAGGGTGATGTGCAGGTGAACCACAGCCGGCCGTGGGTGGTGGGCGGGTGGTGGGCGGCATGCCCCTGCGAGCCGATAACTCCAGCCCATGAATCAGTAAATAAATTTCCCCAGCAGAGAGATACAGTGACATTTACTTGTAAGGAGGCGTGGAAGGTAAGTCTCCGAACTGGGTCACAGCTGGAAGGATCGCATTGTTTCAACACACATTTTTATGTGAACCACAGAAACATTAGGGGCCCACGTTATTATTGCTTGTACTTGCTTAGTATCAGGCCGAGTTTTAAACCTAGGGCTAATATTACTATTGACTGTTACACATAATAATTAAATAATCCACTTCTAAATTCCAGATCGACTGTGAAGATGCAGAGGGTAACTGTTGTCTCCAGAGAAAACTGGCTTACATGCCGTTTTTTGGAAATAACAGGATCTGCTGTTTTAGGAGGAACATTAACAATTATGTAGCACGACTTGGCAATTGTACAGCAGGCTCGGTGGCATCCAGCCACGATCAACTCATTCATTCAAATAACATTCATTGAGCACATAGATGGGACAGGGCTGGTGCTGGACTCTGGGGTTGTAATTCCTCAGGGAATTTCCAGTCTAGGAAGGGCGCACGTGTATATGCACATAGAACATTGCAATGAGTGCTAATTAAAGTGTATACAAGCTTAACTATTCCTACAGCAAAGTACTCACCACTGCCATCTCTTTGGGTTACTCCTACTGTTGAAAAGACCTCCCTTCCACCAAAGTACAGTCATATCCTCGTAGTTTTCACTCATTGGTTATGGATCTACCCTATTCGATCCTGCAGAGTAAGTCCTCCCTCCATGGTGGCCCTTGAGGTATTCAGGGTGGAGTCCTGTTTTCTTCCGAGTTTCTCAGCTAAACACCTGCTTCTCTGTGGGTGAAGTCCTGTCAGCATCTTGGTCATGCTCCTCTGACCACCCTCTCGTGTGTCCTCTGTCCCACTGAGAGAGTGCTTTAGGGGACGCAGCGGGAATGGCTGGGTTATGGGTCTTCTCCTCTCATCTGCCATCTGTGAAGATTGCGGTCACATGGTGGATCACTGAGAGTTCAAGTTGATCTCAGATCCAGCTAGGTATGCCCTCTCCAGAGCCAAATGCAGGATTCCACATCTACCCAGCTGTCATCTTCTAGCACATCCCCCATTATGCTCAGCTTGGTTTTGGCTGTACCTTTTGCTCAGCCTGCTCCCTCAATGCCTCCTTCTGCTCAGGCCTTCCTTTAGCCGCTTGCCCCAGTGCCAGCAGGGGGATCCTGATTCAGCAGGTCTGGCTGGGCACGGGGATGCTCAGTTTTCACAAGCCTCTTAGATTATTCTGATTGCAGTCAAGCATAGTTATCTCTGATCAAAGCCACTGATATGTTGAGCAGGCCAAGGACAGAACCCAATGATATGTCACTAGAAATTTCCTGAAGGGTTGACGCTCATTCAGTTATGTGTGCCCTTCGGTGTCCAGCAGTTTATAATCCATCTACTTGTCATGGCATCAGATTGTTTTTCTGTATCTTGTCTTTATAGCTAGACTATAGCCTTCAATTTATCTCTGATTAACCGGCTGAGAGACTTACTGATCCTGCCACTTTCTTATTGAACCTATCTGGGTCATCGGGCACATCGTTTTTTCATCCAGGTACACAGAAACCCTTATCAGTAAAGCTAGGACTAAGTCGTGGTTTATCATTTCTCCCTTCTAGAAACACTTTCCTCACTTGGCCTCCAGGATATCCCACCTTCCTGGTTTTTCTGCCACACAGGTAGTGCCTTCTCACACTCCTTTGCTAATTCCAGCTCACCTCTCTGACCTCTGAATTTCTCAGCGTCCCAGGCTAGG